TACAATGGCTGAAGCTAGAGCTCTTCTGTGTCGCATCCCATCACCCTGAAGGATTCTTAATGTTGCACTCAGATTATTTACCTTTCCCAGCTTTGGGTTTATTGGCCGCATGTAGATTGTGGGGTGATAAAATGTGTGGAGCTCTTTTTCCAGGAGTTCTGGAATTTTAGTTCTGGTTTGCACACTTGGATTTGCTTCCTGTGAAGGAAGAGGCAATGGCGTGTCCTTGGACTTGTCTGTATATAAACCCTTCATATTGGCAGGCACACATTTAAGAAACTGTCTACTTTATTTAGGATTTTTTTGAATGGCTGCCTCCTGGCAATGTGAAGCTTCTAGAAAATGTCACTAAAAGTTAAGTTCCCCTCATAACAAACTTTTTGGGGTTGTCTATACATTACTGGTCAGTGTTTGAGAATCTAGTTTGATTCTTCAATCAAGTGAGATTTCTCATGTATAGCACAGCTCAAATTTTTAAGCATTAAAGAACATTTCCTTCCAAGTAGCTGATGACACAGCAATGAGATGTCTGAAGCTGGTTTTTAGGCTGATATTGAAATACCCCTGGTATTTAGGTAGCATTTCCCTGTTTTTTGTTTAAGTATCTGTTGGTGCTGTTCTTGACATCCAGATGGAATACAACTGTTTTGCACCGCTGCGACAGATGTGTGTAAATATAGAGTGTTAAAGACAAGGTATTGGTCATGTTTGCAGCTTCATATGCTTATTATGCAGCAGTATGGTAAACATGAGAAGTGCAAGATTTCCAGTTAGCTCAGAAAATTCCCATGATAGCAAGTCACGTGATTGAATTCAAAGTTATTTCCTTCACTCCAGCTCTAAAATTTCAGCTGTTGCTACTCATTACTTTTTTTTTTCTCATCAACAAGAATCTTTCTGCCGTAGCCGTGTTGGCTTGATTTCTTTCATGAGCGCTGTTTATCATCTGATACTAGTCTAATCAGAGGACATAACTACTCCTTAGTCCAGACAGGACAAGTTTTTGATACACAATTATAGGAGTATACATGATTTTGCATAGCACAGCACAGTATCAGCATGGTCTCTCCAGCACATTCTACTAAGATGCTGTGGCATAGAGATGCAATCTTTTATTAAAAAGTACTTGAAGTCAAGCACCTTTGTGTACTTGACACAGTCAGTACTCTGACTGAAAATAAAAATTCAAGAGCTGTCAGTTTTGCACTTATTTATTTAATTTACAGGCAGGAGACAAATGTCAATATGTAGCAGTAGAAACTGGCATTTTGAATTCCAAAGACAACCTAATAGGCTTTCCCCTTTACAGAAAGAAGCCTCCTTCTCATCTGTAATGAGCTTTTTTTGCCTCCCCACCCCAACAGCTAACAAAATGTCATATTCGGTGGTGTAACAGGGACCAGAATCCCCTTCTAGCTTCCAAATATTTGACTAGTTTGGTTACTGAACCTTTGCAAATGTACTGAAAATTGGAATATATTTTGCATATTTCAGCGCAATATTGAAAAATATTGATTTGTTTCTGTCAAAATTGCATAATTGGGACACTTTATGTTTTCTCAGTTTTATCAGAGTTTAACAGGATATAACATACAACTTCTTCCTCTTGTAATAATTACCCCATTTCAAAACATTGGGAAATTATATTTAGATATTACCTTCTTATAGATTTCTGTAGACATAGAACAGTGGTCCATGACACAACTAAGACTATACAATGATTTTTAGAAAGTATCTGAAGTAGTTCCCTATGCAAGGGTAATTCAATGAATGTGTTATTGATGCAGAGCTATTAATGTAGAACAGTTGAGGTGAACTTAAGTCGGGCTTATGGTGAAGGAGCCACTCTGGCTTATTTGCTTACATATGTTTTCTTTGTAAATGTGAATTTAGAAGTTTCTTCTGTATTAAGCAGCAAAAATTATATTTGTGAAGTGCTGACTTGGTTTGGTGGAGGCGGAACCTTTCTGCCAAGACCCACGTTGCAGGCTGAAATGAATGCTCAGTGTTGCCCTCCTGCAGGACTGCCACGTAGCTGCTCAGGCCGAGTCACCACAATATAATATACCCTTGAAAATGGAACAGTCTAAAAGTAGCTACAGTATTTGGCCACACAAAGGAATGTTTTTAAGCAGAATTACAGGGCTTGTAATATTCCAGAGGTCAAGTAGTTTTCCTGTCTGCACATCCCATAGTCCTTGTCCATCTGTGAAATACCAAATTAGACTGAATAATCATTTTCTTTACTATTCTATTTCAGACCATATTTAATATACTAGTGCGCTTCTACTGTAGCTGGGAACTGACTAGGAGGCTGCAAGGATATTTCCTTCATTTCCTAGTAGTTGTCACAGGTATTTGCCTCCATTATGAATATATTCAAAATGACTCTGCTTGGCAGTTTGCATCAGAACTGCCACTCAAAAATAAACCAATCCCACAAGCCAAAAAAGTTGGAGGAAACCTGAAATCTGGGAGACAAGGTGCAAGGCGCTTTGGGCGTGCTTCCGTGCTGGCACTTTCCATGGAAATTCTAATGATGGTAATGTCTTCAACTCTTGCTTACGAGGTTTTTGTTATTTGGGGGTTTTTTGTTTTATTTTTAAATTAGCATAGTGTTTATGGAAGCCCCTTTCCTTTTCCCCTCAGGGCTGGGCGCAAAGCAGTCCCTGTTCCTAGAAAGCCCAGAGCCTTGGTACACTGTTCCCTACCCCCTGGTGGGCTTTTGTTGCACTTGCCCACCTGTGTATAGTGGCAGTCAGTCCTCCTTCTAGGCCATTTCTGTCAGTTGCAGAGTGAAAGATCCCAAGTCCATTTTAGTATGGATTGGTGCACACAGGGACACCGAACGATACATATTTATTTATGATTAATGGAAATGGGTGTGATCCCACGCATAAATTGGTTGATGTCAGGCACTCCATTAAGGCTGCACAGGAAATTCTAAAGCCAATTTTAGTTGACTTATTTTTCTCAACTGACTATAATTTAATGTCTGGATGTTCAGCTTTTAGACTTAAATCTTTTATGCTTTTTGGATAGAGACATTGAAAATTATTCCTTCTGCTTTAGTCGATAAGAGGATTATAAGCAGCACATTCTTGCTGTAAGGCAGAAAACTTTACGTGCAGTATTTTCTTTTTAGTGTGGTTACAGTAGATGGCATTGACAGACGTACGACATGCACACTTTTTCTGTGCAGCAGGAGACACTGCAAATTTGTAAACTAGTAGATACTTTACAACAGTCTCAGTGTTGAAGAGATAACCTGATTTTGAGTTACAAAGTTTGGAAAATATAACTCCTAGACCTGCCTGCCCTAAATAGTAGAGGATATAAACTAATGGTTTTCCACTTTTCTATTGGAATGGCATATGTGGCATAAAAAGCTCCTTTTAATTCACCTGTGGCATTATGATATACTCAGACCAAGGCAGCCTAAGGGAGGAAGAAAGAGGTCAGCGTAGCAAAGCTGCAGCAGTCACTAATAGCCGTCCGGCGGGTCAGCATCTCCTTTAAGACTCTGCAGCATCATATGAGTTTATGAGAATCTGCTGGCTTAGGGGTAGATCCACCAGTGATTGTGTGTATTTTCCTTGTCTTCCTCTGCCTTCGCCCTCCCTAAAGCAGGTTAACTGTGTGGGAACAGCGAGAAGCACACCATCAATATCAGCTTGGGAAACTGTCTAAAATAGGACTGAACAGACTGAGGACAGAATAATGCCAGGTGTTTATTACACACTCTTCTAACTGGAACCAAAACTGAAAGTTAACAAGGCATTGTTGAGTACAAATGACTTCTAAATTCACTTACTGCAAAGCTGACCTTCCAGTTATAAAATGAATCAGATGGTTCTTGGATAGCTGAAAAACAAGAAAACCAACCAAGCTGACAGAGCTGCATCTGTATGAAATGGAGCTCCACTTGTTATTTAGAGGTGTCAGATGAAATCTGAGCTTAGCCTTGTGAAGGACAGGCATCTGTGGTTTTGTTTTCTGAGCCCTGGGTACAACTTTCCTCTGTGGGCATCTTCTTTAGTAGTCCATACAGTGTTGCCATGTTAACTGGCAACAGAAAAACCATACGCTCAAATTAGTTTCTTGCCTCAATCCAAATCTTGGTCCTCAAATCATTGGGAATTGTGATTTGCAGCTGTGTTAAGTTCTGAACTGCCAAAACCTTCAACAGAGTTGAAAACTTAAACTGGAACTTGATTCTAATTTGCTTGTGTCCCCACCAGGAAATATGTTTTTAAAAGATCATAGCATATGATATAGACGAGGAATCATACTACATTCCAGCTTCCTGGGAAGCCCTGCCTCTTCTGTGTGTAAGAGCAGGGGCGCACGGTGTGTTGTCATCTGGCTTACAGACATGGGGGCTACTGCTGTGAGCTGAAGAATATAAACACTTTGCTGAGACAGCAAAAATCCCCAACACCTTTGTAGAAGAACATAAAACATCCATCAAAATCCAAAACTTGCTGTGGAATGCAGAAAACATGGTCAAAACCAATATTTATTTCCCATTTCATCCTTTCCCCAGACTCCCTTGGTATTTCCTTCTGCATTCTAGTTGTACACAGATACCAAGAATCAGACTGCTGATAATAGCAGTATATGGCACATCAGTGGTGGGCCTGAATCCTGCATATGAACAAGAGCGGGGATACAAAAGGGTGGCCACGCAGCTGGGACAGAGAATGAGATTGTGAAGAGCAGGAGAAAGTCAAATTTTTGCACGCGTTGCAGATCAAAACCGAAACATTGCAGTAGTGGTGATCAGGAAGGAGCCGGTGTGCTCGCAGCAAGCAGGACCCCAGTAAGTCCCAGTGTGTCTCCAGTGCGTTTTTGTATGTGTGTGTTTCCAAAATGGAGCGAGATGGAAGGAGTGGTGGAAAAGGCCGATACTGTGTACAAAAGCTGCACTGCCAGGGTTGGAAGTGGAGTTGTATGAGCTCCTCCATTAATCACCTTTTTCCTTCTTCCTTCCCTTCCAGGTGCAAGTGGGAAGTACACCTCAGGACCAAAGAATTGTGGGATACATTTCCTGCACTCACTTGCAAGCTATTGCAGGTACTGTCCTAATTTGCATATCTTAATTTTTCACTGTTTCTAGGCCTGTGGTGGTATCCTTGTGCAAAGTGGCAAACATTGCTCCTCTGGTATTTCTGACAAAGCACAACGTGCATTGCAAATAGTTAAACAGTTGACAAAAGAATGGGAGACAAGTGTATGTCTCCAAACTTTCACATTTTCGGTCTCGGAGTAATTAAGTATTATAGGGCACCAACAAAAACTACCCCTTGAGAGCTTTTCTTCCCTTTGCTCCCTCTTAACCAAATACTGTTATTTTAGCAAATGTATTACTATCACCATTACTCAACAGCATTTAACAGCCCATACCACGAGTACCAGCATATAAACTAAAATCTCTTTGTAAGTAACCAGGGGATTATCAGAAGATACAAGTTGGGACAATTTGTCCATCAGAAATCAGCAGCTGGATTAAGGCCAATTCTCTGTTTTCTGACCTGCCAATTTCATACATAAATGGCTGGCACATTAATACACTCATGGAAAAATTCTCTTGGTCATGTTTAAAAGCAGTTCCACGATGACATTTACTACAGCATGACACAGCATGTTCTGTGTCCTTTGTTTCATGAAATGGTATCTTCTAAGGTCATTAAAGATAAAACGCAAAAACTCTTAGCAGGGTGTGGAAGGCTCTTTTTGGAATTTTCACTGAATTACCTTAAAAAAGAATGACATGCTGTGTCTGACATACATGGACTCCACCGCTTCCCAAAACCAGACGGGAATTGCACGTAGCTCTGTCAGGTTGTGGTAGAGCCTGTTCCTCCTCACTCATCTTATGACCTTTTATGACCTTTTTTTGCAATAGCATCTCAGCACTCAGCCCTCCTTTTAATACTAATATGCAGAACAAGACTGAAGTAAATGGGCAGCCTCACCTCCATTTGACAACCCAAGTCCAGAAAGCGAGGGGAAGAAAAGCTGGTAGCTTTGGGTCAGTTTATTCCATTTTTAGTGTTCTGATGCGTACATTTTGAAATAGAGACACTTCTCCATTTTAGCTGTTCGCCTGAACACTCATCAATTGAAACTGACAAGTACTTGAAATTCTTGGAGATGTCTGTGGAAAGTTTTCCATGTATCTCTGCTATCTTTTGCATCAGACTATCAGCTCTATGCTTAGAGTAGGTGTAGTAATGAAATAAAAGCCAAAGCTACAAATCTTTACTCTGTGTAAGATCAGAATTCAATTTAGCCAGAGGGGTGGACATCCTTAGTTTTACTTGATGCAGCTGCGATTCTTGTGCTCCCGAGAGCTTGAGAGCATGCCATAGCCCAACTAGACTGCTTGAAGACAGCATGTATGCCACAGACGGAGGCAAGGCGGTGATGTATTACCAACGGTAGCGCTTTGAACCTGTGTGCTACAGCGTGTCTGGGCTACCCCAGCCAGGCAGCTAGCGTTCATTCTACTTTGTCAGTGCTTCAGTTGCAGAGAGACAGCCTTGGGAACAAAATGGCCAGTCCCTGAAGTACATCAGAGAGACTGCATAGTTCTAAAGAAGATTCATGAATTTTTCAGCTACACTTTAACAATGTAACATCCTTCTCTGCTTTTCTATTTTTAACTCTGGAATTATGGTAATGTACTGTGAGATTGCTGTTGTGGAGCTGGGATTTGCTGCTGTTCTAGTTTAGGTTATAAACCTCCGTTTTTAGTCCTGTTCCCTTTTACTACTTCATTGTGTATTCTCAGTTAGTCTTTGATAACCGCACTGTGAATCCCTAAAATATTAAAGAGGAAGAGGGGGGAGGAAAGAAGAATGGGGAAGCAATGTTCCATTTTCAAAGTCAGCCTAAAGCTTCTTTGAGGGTAAAACACCACCTTTCATTTTCCTACTTAAGTTCTTGCTTCGTATTTTTAGGCTTATCTGGTTTAAACTACATTCAAATAGAGCAGACAATGATTTAAGAGTCTAACTGTCCTTTGATATATCATATTAGTTTATGTAATGAAATGGAAAACTAAAGTTCATCAGTTTGGCAGAGCTGTGCTTTCTGATTTGTATCATCTGATTCATAACATTTCACACATTTAAAAAATTATCCAAAGAACAGTTCACCGATGTAAAGATGTGGTATCTATAAAAACAAGCACTGTTAAAAGGTTAGCCGTTTAAATCATCTTGTCATACATGGCTGAGTGCAATTTGGCTTCCCTTCTAGGATACATAAACTTACCCTTGACAGTTCTGATAACTTACGTGAGTATAAAATGAAGGGATCCAACTGCTTACAGTCAGATGAACTACTAATGCTTTTTTCAAGAGAAGTGCTGGCTCAACTCTGTTCTGAGCAATTACTGTTTTTTTCAGACCTGACATCTTTTTCAATAAAACTTTAGAATTAGATGTACCTCATCCTCTTGATGCTCCACCTACTACTGAACAGTGCTCTGAAGCCGCTCTTCATGCAATGGATGCAAACTGAAACACGAGAGGTTTCAGTTGAATATGAGGAAGAACTTTTCTTCACTCTGAGGGTGGCAGAGCACTGGAACGGGCTGCCCAGGGAGGTTGTGGAGTCTCCTTCTCTGGAGATATTCAAAGCCCACCTGGATGAAGTCCTGTGTGGCATGCTCTAGGTGAGCCTGCTTTAGCAGGGGGGTTGGACTAGATGATCTCCTGAGGTCCCTTCCAACCCTTACGATTCTGTGATTCGTTTTGCACTGTGGAAATAGCTGCATTTCAGTGACAAATGAAGGGATCCTTTAATGAGACTTCAATGTAATTATTTTCCAAGGGGCTGTTAAGTTTACATGGTTCTTTTATGTCTTTCAATTAATCAGTGATTAACGTTCTGGACAGGTTTTGCTGCCCAGAGCCCACCTGCCTCCCAAGTTCCTTTGAGTCATGTCTTTGAGACACCCCACCAAGCCATCAAAACAGAGTGAGCCTCAAGCTATTCCAGCCCAGGTCCAAATGACATCGCATGCTGGATGCCATCTCATAACCTTGTTCACGTCCCTGTTTTGCGTTTAGTGTGAATCCAGTGATTAGAAGTACAGGTACTGGCAACTCGCGCTTCTCTAGCACCAGTTTCAGGTTCCACAAGCCTACACACAGCTTAAGCAGGACTCTCTGCTTAAGAGAGATCCCTCGGTGTTTGAAATTCTGACTGTTCAATCAGGAGTAACTTCCCTGCTAAGCATCCTTAGGCAGTGGTTCCTCATGTTTCTGGAACAGCAAAGCTGGCGTATCCACCCCGCGGCAGCCTGCCCTTTCCCCCTCCTTTCAGCTGTGCTAACGTGGCTGTTGTAGGCTGCCTTGCACTTGACTGGGGACCTGACCTAGCTGGAAAGTACTAAATAAAAGGTTTTTTTGTTGTTTCGGTTTTGGGGCTGCTTTGTTTTTATATTGCTTTATTTTGTTTTCCCAGCCTATACTGGATTAAGTATGTTAGAAGTGTAGGGGGCTGCTTAATCTGTCACACAGTCAGGTGTGACACAGCCTGGCTCATTGCTAAACTGAAGCCTTTGCTTGTGACTTGGAAACAAATTTTCCTTTTTATTAGGCTTTACATCCTACAGTTTAGAAGCTTTTTTTGCTCATCTTCCCCAGGTTCCCTGCCAATATATCCCATAGTGCTGAGAACTCCGGTTTTAAAAACCTCCACTGGATCTTTTAATTTCCTCTGATTAGGCCTGTCAGCTGCTTTGTTCGACCACCACAGTGTTCCTTCTAATGTCTTTCAGAGTAGGCTAGAAGAGTCTTCCACACTGTGTAGTACCTACCTGCAGTTCTAACTGAAGCCAGGATTTCACTTAAGCATTTCCGAAGTGAGTGGAAAGGGCAAGTATGATTACCCTATAACGAACAAAGGTGAAGTATTTATTTATGCTGGCTGAGGTTTGCCACACTACCCTTTCATCCCTCCACAAAATTTGAAGCTGAAGGGAACTTGCAAAGAATTTGGAACTGCTGGCTGCAGGAACCAGTCACAACATAATTATTTGCATTTTTCCAGGCCAGTCACTGAGGAAAGAGCGTAGAACAATTAGGACAAAACTCTATTCTCTGGTTAATCGCGGGTGGCAGTCAATCAGATCAGTGATTCTATCTGAATGTTTAATTAGAGCTGAAGGCTGGAAGGAGAAGTTGGATGTTAGTGTTGGGAGTTACTACCTAATTCTCTTCTGTTAGTATTTACTGAAGCTATTTCATTTCAGCTGCAGTTTCTGAAATGTCTGCTCCCGACTGCTCTGGATTCAGGTTTGGCTTCTCCTCTGTTTAGGTGTCGGATTAGTTCAGTTCTCTTCATCTCCAAAGCTATTGATCACTGGGAGCTGGTAAGACTGAGTCTCACTGATAACTGGTGCACGCAGCTACATGCGGTACCTGCTGTGTAGCTGCAGTGAGCTCGATACTGTTAGCTTAGTAGTAATCTGAGAAAACAGTTATATTCAAGTTGCATTAGAGGTCCCATCTTTTGTCATGGAAATGTAGCTCACTTCATTGCACCTGCTCCACGTAGTGTATTGAAGTGCAGTTACTTCTATGACCTCTAGTGGGGATAATCAGAGATGCCAGGCTACCACAAGTTCTACACTTTTTCTAAAGAGAAATGAAAGTTGTCTGTTTCCAGAGTTCCAAGGCTACTATTTTTCTGCAGAGCCCTGAGGTTATCTAGTATACAGTGCTGCTACGAAGGCTCAGCATTCTTACCGAGGGAGATGTATGTCACTATGTAGTTAATGCTTTGCTAATAACAGCCATGTATGCTACCAGGCACCTTTTACAATATTCTCCTAAAACGTTTTTGCCCATCTTTTGTTTTTCTCAAGATTTTCTTGTTTTGGGGAATTTTAGCTTTGTGTGTTTCAGTTAAGTGGGTTTGCTACATTCTTCATGCTGGTCTGTGACAAGTTGCTGCCTCAATTTTATGCCCTTATAGTAATGGCCACACTATTTCATCACTCATCCCAGTGAAGCCATGCTAGATGGATAAGTCACAAGAAATGCAAAATACCCGTAACAGTTCAGGGATGTAAAAGCCAGTCTTTAGACAATTAAGCAATTTATATAATCGGGACTTTGTGGGGAGCAAGATGCTACTGCATTCTTGTCAACAAAGCACCATGCTTAGAAGTTATGTTAAGAGGAAACAAAGGCAGGGCAGAAGAAAGTGCTGGCCAAAGGAGATGAGGTAGGATAGAAAGATTCAGATGCTGCAAAAGGAGGCCAGTCCATGAGGAACCTGAACATACCTAAGTCTGTGTGACCTGATGAGATGCTGCCCAGAGCCCTGAGGGAATTGGCTTATGTAGTTGCCAAGCCACCCTCCATGGTATTTGAAAAGTCATGGCAGTCAGGTCCAGTCCCTAGTGACTGGAAAAAGGGAAACACTGCACCCATCCTTCAGAAGGGTAGAAAGGAGGATCCTGGGAACTATCAACCTGTCAGCCTCACCTCTGTGCCCAGGAAGATCAGGGGACAGACCCTCCTAGAAACTATGGTAAGGCACATGGAGGTCAGAGAGGTGATTTGAGACAGCCAGCATGGCTTCACCAAGGGCAAGTCCTACCTGACCAACCTAGTAGCTTTCTGTGATGGAATGACTGTATCAGTGGACAAGAGAACGGATAAACACTGGCACAGGCTGCCCAGAGAGGTGGTAGATGTCCCATCCCTGGAAACATTCAAGGTCAGGTTGGACAGGGCTCTGAGCAACCTGATCCAGTTGAAGATGTCCCTGCTCACTGCAGGGGGGTTACACTAGATGGCCTTTAAAGGTCCCTTCCAACCCAAACTATGCTGTGATTCTGTGAATTTGAATAAACTTTACCAGGAATGAGAAAGCTGGGACTGTTCAACTTCACGAGGAGAAGGCTCAGGAAGGATCTTATCGAAGTGTGTAAATGCCTGATGGGAGGGTGTAAGGAAGATGGAGGCAGAGTCTCCTCAGTGAGGCCCAGTGACAGGACGAGAGGCAATGGGCACAAAGTGAAATGCAAGAAATGCTATTTAAACAAAGGAAAATGTTTCTTTATTGCATAAAAATGTATTTTTTTATTGCCTAAGCATTGGAACAGGTTACCCAGAGGTTATGGAGTCTCCAACCGTGGAGATACTCAAAGCCTGACTGGACACGATCCTGAGCCACCTGCTGTAGGTGACTGCGCCTGAGCAGAGGGGCTGGACAAGATGATCTCCAGAGGGCCCTTTCAAGCTCATGCTTTCTGTGACTCTAATTTCATCTGTAGCTTTAGTTAAGCAGAACGTATGTGTTTGTTAGTCACGCACACCTTTTGTGGTTAGTGTCACCTGCTCCAGGCTGTATTTATTCCACGTGACCTATTTCTTGTGCTTTTGTCTAGCTAAGTAGTCCTCACCATAGGGCTTTCTTGTGCTGTTGTAGCAAAGGGTTTTCCCAAGAATGCATGGGTCTGGATTTGTGTCAAGCTGTGCAATTAGGGTACAAGGTGAACTTGAGGTTCAAGTAACTAGAAACTGCAGGTTAGGGAAAAGATCCAGGGAGCACTTGTATCTGCTTTTATATTACAGCCCAACTGGTAAAGATTTGTTGGGAATAACACAAGTGGAAGAAAAAAAAATCAGATTATTTCCTGTTGGAATTACCACTCTGAAGAGATGAGTCAGTGTCAGAACCTACTTAAAGCTCTCCCTTTTCCCGTCTTGTTCTTTTCACTATTTCTTTTAATTATTTAGGATTGTATCAAATCATGCCTGGTTGAACATTTCTGATTCAGTTTATTTAAATGTTATTTTAACACACACACCCCAAGATGTTCTTGAAAACCCAACCCTTTGCAGGTCAGTGGCGGTTGGAAAGCAAAGTCCTGAAGTTCTTCTGTACGCTAACGTGGTTACAGCATGCTGAAGAGTTCACATTTTAAAAGTCTATAAAGAGTGCTGGTGGCAGCTGCAGTTGAGACAAGAGATTAACAAGCTGTGAGGATGTAGACTTGAATATTCACTGTCTGCAGAGTGGCCAATGAAAGCAGCTTTGGACATACATAACTGACATTTCTAATAGTGTTTTACACCTTTCTAATAGCTAGCACAAAGTAGTAAATTTGGTTAAACTAATATTGTAGTCAGAACAAGTCATTTTGGGTTTGGTGCTTTTCCTTCTGACTGTGGCATTTGAAAAAAGATCTTTTATTTTGAAGAAAAGCAACGTTCTTCTGACTTGACATATTTCAAGTCTGAAACAAGCAAAATTGTAACTGTCAACTACAGGTACAGTGAAAACAAAAGAAAAGGAAAGGCAATATGGTAAACAATTATTTCTAAAATGCGCCTCTTCCTGCTCCTTTCCCCAATCAAGCTTTTGCTGTAATCATTTTAAGAGAGCCAGCAATTAATTTTTTCTTAGACTTCACATCACCTAACGTGCTTGAAATTAAGTGTGGTTAGTTGCTATAATTTAAGAGCTGTTTTGCGCATCAGATGGTTTCACAAACAAAAATATCTGGCACCCCATCAATCTCCACCCTTGCACATCAACCCTGTGAAATGGGGGCAGGTCCTCAGCACGTGTAGCCTAGTGTAACTTCCCTGTGGCTGGTGGATCTGGTTCTTTCTTTAAAAATATGAAAAAATACTTGCAGTTTCAGCATTCTTACTTGCACACAAATAGAACTCTTCCTTGGATGGACTACAGTATGAGTAAGTTGAATTTACCCTTGATGTATATTTACTAATAACACTTGAAAGTTAAATTTTTAATTTTTAAAAAAGAGAAAGCAAAGCAAAGCAAAGAAAGATCAAGTGGTTTATGCCAGAACATGCTGTCCAGTTTTGTCTGAAGTAGGATTTTAACTCTGCACTCTGGGTTATAAATGTAGTGCATCAGATCATCCTCTCCTGTGGCTAGAAACGTCATCGTTGTGGATGGTTGTCTGCAGCACACAGATGTCTTATTTCTTCAGACGTGCCTGGTATGACTGAGTCCAGAAGGAGATATTTACATCATCAAAAAGTGTGATCCCTAATGAACTTCATAATGGGCTAAGCATTATGTACTGAGCATATACTGTTAGCCATGCCATTTTTTATCTTGCACCCTTTTTCTTATGATGTCTGGCAATAGCTTAGCAGCTAGGATGTGGCTGAGTAACATGCTAAAGGAAGACTTTTTTCTTGGTTTGGTTATTGGTTTGTTTGCTACAGGAGATACTACTGTTAGATGTGAGCAACTGGATATGCTTCAAGATTGGCTGTCTGAATTCAGAAAATCTACCTCCTCCTCCAGTACAGCCAATCCAGAGGAGCTGGTGGCTTTTGATGTCATCTGTGGAGATCTCAACTTTGATAACTGCTCCTCTGGTAAGACAAGGTTTTCCTTTTCCTGGTGTCTACCTATTCCAAAAAAGGAACAGGAAGTTTCTTGATTCCTGTGGGTTATAGCAGTATGCTAAGTTGTGTCTGCCTTTTGCAGGGAAAGACTTAATTGCTCCAGATACTTCTAAAACAGGTATTAGCCTTGAGATGAGCCAAGGAGAGCAGCTCACATTTACTTACAAACTCTGCTGAGTTATTAAGCATGGGGTTTTTTTTTTAAGGCACAAAGGGCAACAATTTATGACTTGTAGTAGCAATAATGAGGACAGATCCAGTGGTTTAGCTTTACTTGAATGAGGTAGACACCTCTTGTGCTAGAATGTTAGTTACTAATGAAAGGCATTTATGTCATGGGGGTTTTGTACAGAAGAAGTAGCAAATTCATGCAGTTAAAAATTTGTTAGTGCATATAGGAGACTAGTGCTGCAGAGAGAACTAAACATTGCTAAATCAGTCTTAGAAAAAATTAACTGATGATGTGAACATTTGGGAGGTTTTATTTTAATAAATTTTTAATTTTTTTTTTCTATATTTGGATGCTGAGGGTACTAGAAAAAGAACTCCACAAAACCATAACTAACAAGCGGTGAGTTCACGGAGATGGTAGTCTTTTGCAGACATAAGTATTATGCTGTGTTAACAGTTAAATTGCCAGCACACAGAGTGCAGAGCGTTGTGTTTGTGCATCCTCTCTGCCATCCGGCTTGGTACAGCTCAGGCATCCAGCAGAGCTCCTTGCTGGCTTGATACAATGGCAACTGACTCTGCTGGTTTGGAGCTGGCAAATGGATTGGCGGTGCCCAGTGGCCAGCCACCTACGAGGCTGATGTCTGAAAGGGCCAAAACTGAGATACAAAGCGCACAAGGCAGGTACAGCGAGGGGGGCTCATCAGAAGGGATTGAGTCTGTGCTACCAGGGAGATGCGCAGTGTACAGGTGAGCTCAGGCTGTAGCATTCCAAGTGGGGTTCAGCAATTCAGACCTGAGTTTGTGAACAGCATCCAGTCTGAATGCTGTAGTCCTCCTAAGAAGCCTAGGTAACTGAGGCTGAGAGCAACACCTGTACCAAAAATCATTTTAAGAAACAAAAAGCAAGCATTGTCTGATCTCAGGAATAACTAGTATTCTCTAACCTCATGACTTCTATCAGACACTTGTAACAGAAGATTATAACAAAGCTGGAGAAACATTTTATTGGGTAGAAAAGACCATCAACGCAAAACACAGCCCTTCTGATGTTGATTTCTAGCTCATATGTACAAAAAAATAAATCGGCCACAACTATATGATCCAAAGCAAACTCAGAATGATCAGAGAAGGTGCTGGTGATTGCTCTGACTGGTAGAAGAATCCATTATGCACTGTGGAGGTGAACAGTAAGTGGTGATGGCTACAGAATACTGTAGTTAAACAAATGCATATTGGGATAAAATACAACAGTAGCAGTGGTAGTGAGTTTTTAAGGAAGGACAGAAGAAATGTGCTTTGGTAACGGGCCTTCAGCTGGCCAAGCTGCTACGCAGACGGGCTGAGGCAGCACTTGCAGCAGTCCAAATGAAGGGGATAAGCTGGGGGATACAAAAGCAAATATATCTGCTGTGATTTGACTGTTTCACTTGCAATGTTGTTGGATGGATGGAGTGGCCTGGAGGCAAAGATGTCCATCAAGGAAATAAACAATCTGCTGTGTACCAAAGGGGAGCATGCCTGGCCAGATCATAGGTGGGACGTGAATGGGGCTGTGCAGCACGAGGGGGGAGAGACGGGAGCGGAGCTGTGAGGCGGAACACGGGTCGGTATTCTCCGCCCGAGACGGTCTGGCATTCTAACCAAGATCTTACTCTCTACTTCTTGTGCATAATTAATGCTGTTGTGACCTGTCTTTTTAAAGCAAAAGTAAAAACAGCTATTTGCTTTTGCAAATAATGGTTGTAAATATTGCAACCACTACTAAAGAGGACTGAAAAGTAGGTTATAAAAAAATATTTTATTTTTGCTACCTCTGCAGCTTATTTAAATCATCCTCCTCCCTTTAAAATTCACTCAGCCTGGAAACTAAAATTAAGCTGGCTATTTCATTTTTTTTATTTTAGATTGCTTTCTTTCCTTATGTACCAAGCAAGATTAATGCAATGTTTTAAAGTTTTGTCCTCCATTTTTACATTACTCATTGTTTTAGGGACATTTGTTACCATTGCAGAGAATTGAACATTTTAAGATTAATTTTTTTAAACAATAATTAGCTTCCTGTAATTCTGTAAGTGATTTTCTGTATTCTTTCCCACTCCACAGACTGATGCAGCAAGTAATTAATGTTTCAGTGAATATCAAGCTTCTATTCTTAGATGTATCAACAGTACAGTTTTCAAAGATCTCCAGGGTCCACAAGCGACCTTATGCTTATGACAAATTTTCTGCGACTCAAGTTTCCCCCTCCAGCTTTACAGAACATTATGACAGCATTCATACAGTGAATTCACACTTAGCAGGAACATTATTAGAAAGTTAGTTACTGCCAGGTTGCTTTGGACTGACCTGTGTAAAAGTCCATTATGTTTTTAAACCTTTTAGCACAAGGTAAAAAGCCTTCCAGTCAGATGGGTTAAGTTTGTCTCAGCTGTGACTTGTCACTATCAGTGCCACAGTTGCAAATTAATCATGACAAAATTTTCATCTCCCTTAGACAGGTCATGCTGATTATGTTTAGAAAGGCTTTAATGCTTTAGATAATATCCCAAGCAAATTATCAATTGCCTGTCCTTTCTCTTACCTATTATAGCTTGGAAAGCATTCAGTGAATTCTTCTAAAGCATGTAAAGAACAGGCTTTTATCTGTAAACTTACTGTGATGTATATATACACCCGCAAACAGCCATTTACATTGTGAATTCAGTCCAATTCGCCATTACGTGATCTACTTCAACAGAAGTTTTGTACCAGTGTAAGCACTGCCATGTCAGTGGCAGGGTAAGGGAATACACTGGCAAATATTCACTTCAGTTTGCAGCTAGAAACTACAAAAAAAAGTCTTTCATAGAAGGACTTTGTAGGAAAGCACTGTTATTAGCAAGCATTTGTTGGAATTTCTAATCCAGCCAAGATACTGCTGTGCGGTAAAGCTACTACTGAACTGGTTCAAATCCCCCCCTGTATGAGTGTACTGAGTAGGAAGGAGGACTTGCCTTTTTGGTTGTGGCAACAGTTGTCCCCAGGCTCGCAACACGTAGCTGATGTGCCTTTTCTTTGGCTTCTTTCCCTGCAGAGGACAAGCTGGAGCAACAGCATTCTCTGTTTACACACTACAAAGACCCGTGTCGGATTGGTCCTGGGGAGGATAAACCATGGGCAATCGGTAAGACCTTCTCTAGTTGTCGGTGTAGGAACATTTGTTTGTCTGTAACTCACACGACATCTATAAGCAGCAGGCAGTTCAGCTAACCAGCAGGAAGAATTTGGTTGAGACCAAATACTGACAAGGGGTTATTTCTGTAGCATATATTTTATAAACTTTAACAGTGTCTTCTTGAATTATAATTAAGAACCCAACAGAGATCTCAAACTTCAGTCATCATTCTAAAACTTAGCATCAAGCTACTTGAATGCCTTCCCAAACCTATTCTACTTTCAAAATAGTCTCTGGATTACTTTGGGGGTTGGGGGGAAGCCAAATTATTGTTTCTATACTTTCTGCATGCAATGAAAGCCTGCAGCTTTGCAGCTTTTGATCAGAATGTTCCATCTGGTGTTCTATAAATACTGTAAGTGAAGATGTAACAAAGCAATTCAACGACACTACGAACTTAGAGGGTTCATTTTATAAAAGATTTCATGGCACTCCAAGATACTAATATCTGGTGAAACTCAGTTGATCTTGCTGAAGTTTTAGATCAGGAATCAGGCTGATTCTCTAGAGAAGCAGTTATAACGGTGAAGATACTGAAGGTAAGAATGCGCAACTGCTTAATAATGTGGCTTTACTCTGTTATAGCAGGAAAAAAAAAAAAATCAGAGACATTGGGCTGAGAAACTGGAAGGGCAGCGGCAACGTTTTGAAAGGTGGCAGGCAGTAGGGAGGCCTGGACAGAGGAGAAGTGCCCTCAGCCAGAGCTGTCCCCTGTCCTCTCTCCCGCAGGGATGCCACCTTCACACACCTCTGTCCCCAGAGCCTCCCGAGGGGCAGGTCACAGGAGCTATGCTGGGACAGTCATGTCTCCCTTTCTGTTCACAGGTACCTTGTTGGATCCGGAAGGACTGTATGATGAAGAAGTGTGCACTCCAGATAACCTACAGAAGTATGCGCTTCCTAATCCTCCCACATGCTTTGGACAATTCCTTAAAAAGCCAGTTCATTGCTTGCTATTTAACATTTCATAAGTTGAGGGGTGTTTTATGGACTGTAAAAAAACCCAAAAACCAAACAACAAACCAAACCCAAAAAACACCCACACCAAAAACCAACCCACCACCATATTTTTTTACTCGGTGGTACTTGGGGAAAAGGAAAAAAGGGGAAAGAAAAGTGGCTGCTTCTCTAAGTCTAATAGAATTGGCCTCAGTGGGTGAAGAGATGAGAGCAACTGCAGTCAGTGTTTCTAGGTCTCCAGAGTTGGTCCTACCTGGACAGGCCCATAGGACAAGAAACTCCGCACGCTACTTGAAAAGGGTACTCGGACAGCTTGTCTGAACGTCCTTCTGCAGGCAGCCAGTTCCACGGTCATGGCACTGTAAAGGACAGCAACAAAAGGAAATGTAGTTTTCCTAAAATAAAAAAAACCCATAAAGTTTAAAACACCAGGATTTGATACACCTAAAAGCAAGCTCACAAACATAGAGAGAAATCAAGTAGCACATCAGACATAGGTAGGAATATGGCTTAATATCTATTGGTGATACTAGTGCAGCACTACTTTTGAGGAGCGTTTGATCCTGAGAAACAGGTAGCTTTGGTTTGAGATAGTGGACTTACAAGAAATACAGAAAACCCACTTCATTTGCAGAAGTCTTAAGATAAATTTCTTGAATACCTGTACTGTTTGTTAAATAATACGCCAGCAGAGAGAAATTAATAAGCTTCGTACATTTTAGAGCAGCAGTTAATAAATGTGATAATCCTTTCTGCACCTTCTCTACCTTGAAGGCTAGTTCAATGGACTAAATATGTTATTATCACGACTAACTATAAAAGATGTTCTAGCAGTTCATTACCAAAACATGCTGAAGAGCTGAAGTTATTTGAATTAACGAGTTGGTTAACACACAGAATGGAAATGGTATGTTACATAGGCATAGCAAACATTGGCATTTTTACTCGCCAAGTACAGTACGCTGCGTGGTATAGATGGACACTCAGTGGAATGTATTAGGCGAGGCCACCCCTTGAAGCCTTCTTTTTATCAGTTCTGAACAAAGAAATTGAATTCTAGACATAAGGTCTGGGTTTAGTTTATGTTTAAAATAAGGACTTGTTACAGCCAGTCATGCTTTGCGCATTCAAGAGCCTGCAAAATTTCCAGGCATTTCTATTCACATGTTGAAAACGTGAATTTAGTACCTGTGAAAGGGATTTCTGGAAAGCAAAAGTAAGGTAATTTGGCCCTACAATCAAGTTCACAAATGCAAATCTGTATGTGGGTGTAACATTCTATTTTATGGTTCCAAAAGAAGGCTTGGAGCTTTTTTAAAAAAAATTTAAAAACCAAACAAAACCAAAAACCCACAAACAAAAAAACCCCGTGTTTTCAAGCGGCCTTTTGAGGCAATCTGTCACCAAATTACTTTTGGGGTATTTTGTTTTATTCCGTGAAGAGATACTTCTGTTCAGCAGTTAAGTTCCCCTGACAAATACATGACTGATAGATAAAAAGCCATCAAATGATCAATAAAGATCTAGGACTATTACTTCCACTACACCTATGTATATGTACAGCACCTCAGTATGATAACTGGAAAATAATGAGTGTTGGTAACAAAATACACGCAAGACTTTTTGTCTACTAATGTGGCTTTCAGTTTTCTGCAATATGTTACAATTCTCTTAACGTGATGAAAAAACCCTCTTAGACTGGAATTTCCACTAGCATTCTATGCAGATCTGCAGGGAAACAGAGATCTGCATGCGTATGTTACATAGATGTGCTTCCTCAGGAGGCCAAGATAACTTCTCCTCCCATCTCTGCAAGGGACTGGTAAACATATAAATTGCCAGTAAGTTCAGTGAAATGTAAAGCCATTGATGGGATCTGGGCTTTAAAGATGTCTAAATGATAAATAGCACAGGAGCTGTGGAGCACTGTCTAGGTAACAAGTATCATTCACATACACAGCAAAACAGGGTACAGCCTAAAATTGATCTGTTCTCAAATTTTTCAATAATAGACCTTGATCAAGCTTTGCAGACATTTAAAACAGACATTTAAATTGGCAATGTAAGCTATCCAGAGAATTATTTCTTCATCAGCACTCTAGTTTATAAATAAAATTAAGTAGTTCACATTACTAAACTAATTAGGCCATAAAAGCAGCAGAACAACGAGTTCTTAAATATCTCTTTCATGTTAAGTACAGCATACATAAAACATCAAACATACTTGATACAAATAATGAGCAAGCCATTTATAATTATAGAACAATTAATAAGCTATCTGTAACAATCTGGGCCCTGCCACAGTGCTGGAAGCTGCACAAGCTTCTGCTCAGAAAGGCTTCACAAAATGCACACAAATAATCTCATCTCACAAAGATGATTGTCACCTTCAAGCAACGCACTGGAATCAGCTCATTTTCATCTCTAAACCCTGAATAGAGTCATCTATGACACTTAGTAACTGCCACTCAACAGAATACAGGAGAGCCCACTACAGCACAGCTAAGAAACAAGACTTAAATGCAGATTTTTCCAGTCCCCACTGCTGGACAGTGGCTCAGGCTGCAACACCAGTACAAAAAGCCTTCCTTAATTTGGGTACTTCTCGCCTGAATGAGAGATGGTCCCTCGAGCTTTGTGACGGGGGACTAAGTTTTGCTTTGTGGCTCCCTTACATACGCTGCTCTTCACACTCCTTCGTTCACTGCTGCTGCGGTCAGCACTACAAACCAACCATCCTCCAGAGCACCACGTGACAGAATTTTCATACTTTGGAGTTATTTGGGAGTGAAGTTTTTTCAACGAAAAAATCAAGTTCTAGTTACTTTTCATCCTCACTTTCTTTGTGTCCTGAGTTAAGATAATTATTCTGACAAAATTCATGTTTAGTTGTGCAACTCAGTCATTAGTTAGGTTCACTTAAATTGTTAGCATCTAACTGTTTGCAGGGCAGAGCCAGATGCCCAGTACTTGTGTCTACTTGCCATAGCGGCCAACAGCAAACCACTGCATACAGAGTGGTACAAGATCTAGTCAGAAGCAGACACATGGACATTTACAATTGCAATTAACATTTCCCTTGCAGGTTAAGTGAATACCCATCATTCACAGACTTTTAAAAGGACATAACTGAAGCTAAAAAAATGCATCTTTTAAATTAATGCAAGACTTCAGTACTGCAGTGCGAATCAGCAGTTTCTTCTATGTTACTTAATTAGCTTTGCCAAATATAAAAACAATTTTTGAACAGGGTCAGTCCCATCAAAGAGCTCGCTTTCTTGAACCTAGAAAAAGAACTTCAGGAAGCGAATCGTTTGCAGTAGCTCTCTATAGAATCAGCCTGCAAACAGGTCACAGTCAGCAAATTTAAGACAAGTTATTAGATGACAGGCTAAAACTGAATAATATGTAAAAAGAAGCTTACTTTCATAAACTGGTTACAGTAAACTCTAAGAACCTTCAATACCTCACTAAATCCAAAGGGAGTTAAGAAAAGTTCTGATTACATAACCGTATGGCTAGAATTTTGTCATTGTTATCTTCTGAAGGCACATAAAGTACTTGTATGCATCCGTTGACCCAAACTTGCAGATTACAATGCTACTGAGACCTAATCAACTGTAGCAAGCACTGCATCCCCTCTGCCACCATTTCAGATCCTTCCAAAGAGACAAAATTTGACAAAGAAGCCATTTGAATCTCAAGCATCAAAACATATCACGAGAGTCTGGTGTTTGTCTCTTGTTTTTCCTTCATTCTGTACTCTCACATGCATGCATTAAAAAAATTCCTAAACCCAACCCCATAAAACCCATCCAAAGTCAAGTCTTAAAAACCGGGTGATCAAAAATATCTTATTTTTTTCCAAGGTGAAATTAAAGGCTTTGTACCTGCTAGGACCCAAGTTCATGGCTCAGTGTTTCTCCTGCGACAGTTGATGATGTAGCTTAATGGCGTAATCAACTCTTACAAGGGAAACCACAGAACCTTGAGCTCAGGTTTTGGCAGGTAAGTAAAGGCAAATGATTTTCAAGGAGGTGGTTTTGAAAGTAGTTTGTTTGTGTTTTGAGCCAGATAGAAAAAAAACACAGCCTAATCTGTCCCTCTCTGCATGCACAGTTATGCAAACCAGCTGCGATTGTACTTGATATTAGCTGCCTGCATAATACCTGACCCATGCAGTTACCATGTGCAACTCCTGCCTTCGCATGCAAAGTTGTGTCTGTTGCCTTTAGCGCTCCTCTGGTAGATCTTTTAAATAGAATACAGGAAGGTAAACCAAGTTAAGTCCAATACAACAGCAAAACAGCACAGAACAGCACAGCAAAACAGAATTATTGTAAAAACAGAGTGACAGGGACCTTTGTGGGTTACCTGGTCCAAAGTCACATTCAAAGCAGGGCTAGCTTCAAAGTTAGATCAAGTTTCTTGGGGCCTTAATAGTCTTCAGTACAAAACCTACTGTTAAGGTTTAAGCACCCAAACTAAAAATTCTAATGGGAGCAGATTATCTGCAGCTTATTTGCCTGAACACAAGACTGGTATGGGTACCTAGGAAACTGGCTCAAAACCAACTACTATGTGCCCAAACGCGTGCTCCTGAAAACCATTCCTCAGCCATACCCTGTCTATAAAGTTGGTTGTCTTAAATCCAGAAGGAGTTGCTTCCAATTAGAAAGGAGAGGTTTGTATCAACATACTCAGGTTTACTCTAAAGTAATCCACAAAACAGCTTCCTCTTCTGCTAGATTCAGCAACACTGGGAATCGATGGAGGGGCCGTGGGCTGCAATGTATTACAGAGAGCTGGCAGGCAAGGTCCTCCTCTCGGATGTTTGGTTCTCCTAGCCACAAGGGCAGGTCCACCAGTACAGCACTGGTGATGCCAAACCTGACATGAGGCTTCAAGAGCCCTGTCAGCAGTGAGTGCAGCCTCACATTGGAAAACACATTTGGAAGAAGATGTGCAAGATGTTCAAGAACCCTTTTGGACAGGAATTGGGGATTTGGAGAGAATCTAGTGTAATGCACAAAGGGACGGAATGAGCAAACATTCAAAACACTTGTTTTGTTTTTTAATGAAATAGGGTGCTGGAAAGCGAAGAAGGAAGGAAAGGATACTTAGTCTATCCCACCAGCAAGAACCACAGTTCCAGTCAGAAGGGGAGGAAGGCATCACTGAAAGGGAACGGGAGGAGGATTGACTATATGCTCTATACAGAAGAAGGTCTCTACCTAGAATGGAAAGTGGTGAGTGTCAGAGTTGACAAGAAGAGCCGTAAGTCACACAACAAACTTGTCTGAATGGCACTACAGTCTGTTCTGCCTGGGTTCAATTTCATACTCCAAGGAGAACCTGCTGCTTTGCCATTTTCTACTTTTGCATGCAAGTAGCAAGTTTGGAAATCTATTACATAACCAAATTTAAGACAAGTTTAGGGATTCTGGTAGCAACACTGGTAGGTAGGCTGCTCTTCAGAAACAAACAAACAAAAAACCTTGTTTCCATTTCTTAAACTTTTGCCAGTCTAAGTGTTTTGGCTGATGCTTTCCATGCCAGCAGTCTGAATATTTTTTAATCTTTTAAAGTGTCTGTATGTTCTTTTATTATGCCTATGAAAACCTACCTAAGTTACAAGTCTGTGATACACAGGCAGAATCATAGAATCATAGAATGTTTTGGGTTGGAAGGGAGCCCTAGAGAAGTTGACAAGCTAACCAGAAAAACTTCTAGTATGCTGTCTGCTTCCTGGTGTAGGACCCTTGCCTTATAGAGAATTCCGCAATGAAAATGAGAAACTAGTTCATGCTTACTTACCCTACCCATCACAGCTGCTGCAGAAGAGCAGGCAATAGAGCAGCTCAGCACGGCACACACTCTGTGGGCACAGCAGCAAAGTTCTTCTAAGGCTTCCTGTTTCACATGCACAAATGATGGCGCATGGTAAACCCATTTTGCACAAACAGCAACAATGCCAATATTTGAATAGTTCTGACCCAGGTCAGGCCTTTGGTAAGGCTCATGCTGGCAGCATAAAGAGAACTACAACATCCGTGCTTCCTGTGAGCAATTCCCAAAGTACAGCAAAGTAAGTACCTGGCCCATAGGAGGGGACAACTACATTTTATCAAGTGAGCATTAAGGTTGCTCCATCCAGCTTTCAGAAGCTGGGACACACACAGTACTTCCTGCGGATCTTCAGTTTGGTCCATGAAACACTGCCAGAACAAAGGCTGGAATTCAGAGATGGGAGGAGCAGGGCTCCTGATCACCTTCAGTTCCCATGAAGTTAACACCTCAATCTAATGAGGACAGGCTTCCCTTTTAGCTGCATGCCGTATCTGGCACAGTGCGGCCAGCCCCTCCTCCCAGGCAAGTGCCTCCTTACGCACACGGGTTACCTACTCCAGATCGACAGGTAAGTCTGTCTGGACAACACAGATGTTGCTGTAAATGGAAAGAAAAGGTACAACAGACTTCATCCAGACTAGTTCACCTGTGTATTGTACAAATGGTTCACCTCATCACCTGCACCACACTGACGTGCCCTGTATGGCAGGTAAGTTTACCAATAACACGGCCAAGCTAGACTGGCCCCATACATCTACTCATACAGTAAGGTAGTTTGACGTATGCTACAAAGAGCCATAAAAGCCGAGTCCTGGTGTGTGGTATAACAGATCAGTTTTCCAATTCCTTCTTCCTCACTTTTCTTTTCCTTCTGCAGGAAGTGGAAGAGTTCAGTTTTATTACCCAGTTAGCAGGCTTGACAGACCACCTACCAGTAGCAATGCGTCTCATGGTGTCTACAGGAGATGACGACCCTTAAAACTGACCAGCTTTGAGAGATTAGAAGAGAGAAACGTTAATGATATTAAGAAAATATGAGAGCATAAGGACAAACTATCCTGGTGCCACCTTAGGAAAGATGACCAGACCTGACCCGGGCTACCCCCAGAATGTACTAACAATGGCGGATGTAAAAAGGGAAGAAATGGAAGGGGCTGTGGCCCAAAGCCACCGTCATGTGTTGCTCAGGCAACAGGGCAGGCCTGTACTACAATGCTTTCACTGTGGACCGAACGGAACCAAGATGGAAATCCGAATTCCTTCTGAACCAGTGCCATTCTTACTAAAACATGTTTTTATACTAATATATAGCACAATTTAGTTTGTAATTAGTCTGTGAGTTAGTGCTGCTCAATGGTTTTTTGCATCATTTCTTTGTATAACTAAGAAGCTAAAGCTTTTTTTCTTTTTTTTAGCCTGTTAAAAGTTGTAGTAGCGTGCTTGCATCAGTAGCATGCGCCCGCACTGCATGCCACTCTGAGATAAAATAGTAAGATACCATGGGGAATATCAGAATGGAATTGAGTTCAAAAATGAGATACCAGCCAAAGCAAGGCATTCTGGGACTGGCAAGCCCTTCTGTCATTACAGGTAGACTTTAAAACAAAATCTCTATATAAATTTGCAGACCGGTATCTTCCTGTCTGATTTAAGGATACTTAAAAGATTTGGAATTAAGATTTTAAGAACATGGTCCTGCCCTTATTCCAACTGTGTTCCCACTGAAATGATGAAGTGTTTTGTCTGAATAATGACTCCAGAATTGGGCCTTTAGCTTTCTAAGCGCAACTTACTCCCTTAAGAAGAAATATAGTTCCCCTGTAATGTCTTTCCTTTCTTTCCCATACATGGGGCAGTTCTGAATTATGGTATGGGAAGGTATGTATGTTACAGTAGAGTGAATAGGTTCCTGTAGTACCACTGGTAACACCAGAGCCAACATTCTGCCTTAGCTAGAAAGAAGTGGGAAATAGCTTGTAAAATGCATGCTAGATATAGAGTTAAAATAAACGTAAGTGACATTTTGGGAGAAAAGCGTAGAACAGTGTATGATTGATAAGGCAGGATAACCTAACAATTTTCCAAAGGAATCAGTACATTTAAAGGGAAAGTGTAGCGTGGCTTAGCTGCTAGAGAACAGACCCGTGACTCTCAGCCTTGGGTAACTACTTCCTATGAGCAGAGGGTTTGTGTGTGTCTGTGAGACAATTCCCCATCTGTTATGCACTCACAGGCTTTAATAGGGGTCTTGCCATCTAACTCGTATGTTCTTTCCACTGCAGCTCTTTAAACACGGGGCTCCCCTCTGCCATCTTATCCCCATGACCTGACCTACCCAGCCTTTGTAACCTCAACAAAAATAATGTAAAGCTGAGAATCAGGTCCATAACGAGACTTAGCATTTTTTTTAGGGACTTAAATTCAGAAGGGTTTGTGTTGCTGGGAGAACAGTGAGACCCCTTGCATTTTAACCAATACTTAGTTTCTTCTGCCTACTTCCTGTTCCATTTTAGTGTTGTTTCCTCTTACCTTACAAATTCCCTGTGTTGAAAAGGGAAGAGTTAATCTAATAGTTATACTTACTCCATGAAGTAAACTGTTACAGTTACACTGGCCACAAACTCCTCCTGAAAATGCTCGTTTTGGTGTAGTTTACACCTGCTAGGAATCAGCTTGAGCTAAATCAGGATAGATTTAAATCAGAAATCCCAGTCTGCACAGTCTCTTGTACTGGCTTAATTAGCTACAGTAAACAACAGAACTTTTACTTAGATCAGCCTGGTTTTGCAAGTAGAAACTCAGAAAGTACCCAGCTAACAGTATTGGCTAACTCCACGTAGGTAAGTAAGCCACTTCTCACGCTCTCCCACTGCACCTGCTCTTGACACGTTTTATGCCTCATTTTCCAGTCAGCAGAGACTGCCTCTTAAAAGTGTGCTGTGCCAAACCGTGGGGTAGTCCGCAAGCGTAACCCACGGGGACTCAAAAATGGAACCAGACTCAATTCCCCTTTTTGATAAAATTAGGAATTCAAGTTTACAGCATCAGAGACTTTAGTGTACTATCCCTGTGCACCACCAGTTTCCTGCTTTGTATGTTTCTCTTTATACAGAGGGTGCACATATGTGCAATGTGTTTTTCTGGTTTCTTATCTCTCCACCCAATTCAGAAAAACTTGTACCTGAAACAATGCTTTTAATCCTATTTTCTACCTTGCTTGTATTTTATTAACCTTTTTAAAAAAAAAAAAAAAAAAAAAAATCAGTATCAGTAGCAATTTGTGTGCTGTCCAGCAGGTTTCTCAGTAGTAAGATTAAATATAAGGTACAGTATTTTTAATAGCTTTCCTAACAATGTAAATTACAATTTGATATCAACTTCACAAAGTATCAGTTGCAGGAGCTGAATTTGACACTGTGTGGGATATAATCAAAAAACTACTGCCAAACAATGTTACATTATTTACAGTAAAACTAGCATGGTCTAAATTACTTTTAAATTAGTTCTGTGGCTTTGTGCTGACTAAAAACCAGGCACTTTTGTGTGTGCTGTCCAGCAGGTTTCTCAGTAGTAAGATTAAATATAAGGTACAGTATTTTTAATAGCTTTCCTAACAATGTAAATTACAATTTGATATCAACTTCACAAAGTATCAGTTGCAGGAGCTGAATTTGACACTGTGTGGGATATAATCAAAAAACTACTGCCAAACAATGTTACATTATTTACAGTAAAACTAGCATGGTCTAAATTACTTTTAAATTAGTTCTGTGGCTTTGTGCTGACTAAAAACCAGGCACTTTTGTCAACTTTTTGAGATACGTTGAGAAATATTTTTTTCAAATTTGAAGTAAACTGTTTTAGATTTTGATGTTCTTAGTTTCTCGGTGATCAAGAAATGGATAGTTGTAAAACGTTCTCTTTAAACAATGCACATGCATTTAATCAGTCTAGTTAATTCTTACTCATTTACTGTCTTAAAGATCTGACTTTGCAAGAGTGTGATGCTGGGAGGTACAGCATTGTGGCACCACTGTACAGAAACTCCTCGGTTTTTTGCATTGATTCTGTGCCTTCTGATGCCTCGGTACGCTGGCAGGAGTCAGAGAGCCTATGTACCGGTGAACTGTAAAAGAACAGGCTTTGCTTTCCAGAAGAGTCACATCCTGGAGAAAAATGAGTTTTGTCTACACCACCACTACTACAGTTCCAGTAGTTCACAGAGGATCATTCAGACACCACCTGTACCGGCAGGATATCAATCATTAGAAGCCTTAGACAGATACTACGTAATAGAGTACTTAAAATGCATTTTAAAACAAAGGGGGGGGAGGGGTGGGGGGGGAGGGCAGAACACACCCAGGAAATCAAACCCTGGATAGCTCCTTCAGAAGTCAATCCTGCTTTGCTTAAGGATAGCATGACCCAATTTATTAGTAGGATGTTACTTACAAGACATCCAAATTAAGCTTATTCTACTATGCTTACCCCACTTGGTACAGGAATTTCAGGTATCTTCAAGAAGTGGGTGATAACGCTATTCTTGGCTTAGTAACTAAGTGTCATCTATTTTACAAAAGCTAGATAACGTCTTCTGTTTCTCAAGTTCAATTTGCATTTTACAACAGTACTTCTAGAGCAAGTGGACAAAAATGAGGACAGCCCAAAACAAAGAGCTTGCAGAAGTTTCAAGGATGTCAGGTCCTTACAAAGTTGGTACCTTTAGGTCAGTTCAAACCCACAGCCTACAGAATGCAGCCCCTCAGGCGCATTCAGGTCCAGTTAACTGCGCACTGTTTGTCGGAGGGATGCGCGATCCATCTGCTCTGCGCCGCAGCTCAGCCACTGAGGACCAGGGTAGTAAGGCCTAGTGTGCAGCTTCACGCTGTGGGAAAAAGTGTTTACTATAAGTAATCCAAGTGGTGGCCAGCCAGTTTTATTCCCTCACAAACTGGATGCTTAGTAGGAGGTGTCTAAAGCAACCAAATGTAAACAGTACCACAGACTGGCTCCAAGCGGAGCCTGCTGCCCTGTGCCGCTGTAGAGAAACCCTTGAGAAAGCCGTCTTGTGTAACAAGTTTACCTATCTTGTGCTAGTATTATGACAAGGTTTTGTCCCAGAAGCACTCTCGGCTAGTCTGGCTAGACCTTCACTCCTAATTGTTGGGTAAGACAGTAAGATTTAAGGAACTTACAGTTCTAAGAAATAATTTTTTTTAAATGGCCTTTGTTTGGTAGTCCAGATAAGCAGATCTGACTGTCCCCAGTTTGGTTGCTGAGCTACCCTGGGGTCACCCAGCAGCGTCAGCACATATCATCAGCTCGGAAATGAAGCATTTTTACCTTCTCCTGGCACTATAGGATGAGATCAGAAATACAATCAATTCAAGCACTCCGAAAAAATCCCAGTTCTATCATCCATTACAGTGAGGGTCAAATTGTTACTGAAGGTCTCATTTTTCCATGCCATCTTGTTTTGAATACAATCTTGATGCTTTTAAAGACTTGTATTATTGCTGAAGTTTAGAAATCCTATAATAAGAATAACCTTTTTTATTTCAATGATTTTTCGGTATTGTATCCTTCTGGAACCTAATGTTTTTATATGGTAAGCACACACCTTCTGACATTTTGTTATAAATGTATTAAAAAAATAAAAATCTAAATATTTTCATTGGTTTCTTTGCCTGCAAGAAAACCACAATCTCAGCCAGATAAAAACAAGGTATTTTGAACAACAGGGAGGGTTTTTTGTCTTTTATTGGTGCTGAAAGGAATAACTGGTTGATGCAAACAAGATAATAAAATTTCAAGGCTCAAATGATTCTGTGCAGTCCGCTTTTTTCTGGTTTTGTGATGTGGACTCTGCGGCACTAACGGAAATCTAAGATGCAGTCTGGTGGGTGGGTCAAGCATGGTCTCGCTGTGCTAAGCCTGCTATAGTGGATCTGCAGAAAATAAAGGGTGAAAGAACTGAGT